CCCCCCCCCGTTAGGGGGGGAACCTGGCCAACTGCAAGCTGAAGACCAACCACATCGGACACACCGGCTACCTGAACACAGTGACCGTCTCTCCCGATGGCTCCCTGTGTGCATCTGGTGGAAAGGTAACCTGCCAGATCGTGAAACTGGCTTACTGTGTTCATTCTGATCTGAAAATCAAACTGAGCTTTCAGGTTTGCTGTGATGGAAAACTAAACATACATCTGTTAAATAGTGATGATACCAGAGGCTGTTTCTGAGCAACGGTGAAACCTGTTGATGAAGGTCATGTGGAGTTCGGTGGGAATCGGTCATTGAAGTGTTGTTTCTGTGCTCAGGACGGTCAGGCCATGCTGTGGGACCTGAACGAGGGCAAACACCTCTACACTCTGGATAGCGGTGACACCATCAACGCCCTGTGCTTCAGCCCCAACCGTTACTGGCTCTGCGCCGCCACCGGCCCCAGCATTAAGATCTGGGTGAGTCCTCGTCATAAACATCTCCCAATTAGGATAGGCGGTGATGAAACTTCTACATGCTAGCTGCATTTAATGATGATATCAGAGGCTGTTTCTGAGCTTTGATCTAAAAGAGCCTTATTCTGTAGGAGGATGTGGTGCGTTCCCACTGATCCAAATCTTCTCTCTCTTGTGGTTCTTGTTCCCTTGCAGGATCTGGAAGGCAAGATCATTGTGGATGAGCTGAGACAGGAAGTGATCAGCACAAACAGCAAGGCCGAGCCCCCACAGTGTACTTCCTTGGCTTGGTCTGCTGATGGACAGGTATTTGATTCTCAGCTCCTCAGGCACTTTACAGGCACACTAACTGTATGTTTGTTGTTGTAGTCTTGTGGCCCCGGTGATTATACCTATTCACTTTTCATTCTGATGTTCACTGCTGACAGTCCTGCAAATATGAGGGGAGCTAGGGAAAAGAAGATACTGTTAGCTAACAAGCTGTTCTTATATGTAGTGTTGACTTCTCACCCTCTTTTATTTCCCCACAGACCCTGTTTGCTGGCTACACTGACAACCTGATCAGAGTGTGGCAGGTCACTATTGGAACACGATAAGAACCCTTTGCAGAAGCAACTTTGAATAAAAAGACTGTTTAAGAAAACGTGCTGGTCTCAACATTTTGTTTGTAAATCTATATTTCAGTATGGAAATAGAGCTGCACACCTTGGGAAATTACGTTATTGTACCACTTTGCCAATGGTAACCATCTGAACTGGTTACCATAAAAAGGAACATTGACAACAATCCATCCAGTTTGTCAATAAAGATTGGCTAGTGATGTCTGAATGTATGGCCAGAGGTGGCCCTGTGCCTCTTTGTTGTACTTGTTCTCAAATCCTGGCATTGAGGTAAATGAGAAGCAAATTAGCTGCAATATAGAATAAAAGAAACCAAGTGGACCTATAATTTATGTTCTAAATCAGGATGTTATCAATGAGACCTCATAAAGTATCTTGAATTTTTATATGTTCAGACTGTATTGGAGTATAATTGAGTGCATGTGTATGGAAATGTAATATAAACTACCTGCAATGTTAAAAAGCTAGTAATGTGTAAGGTTGGTAAAGAGACCTGCCATCTTTCCAAATTTTGATTTAGATTTTAAGGATTGAGTTATTTAAAAAAAATATTAACCATATATATATATATATATATATATATATATATATATTTCAACTTGTACATTTACTTGCAAGATAAGATGAACGTCTTTCAAAAAAGGGATGGATTGTCCTACATGGTGTACCGTAGTTGTCTGGTATCATAGCAACCCACATTACCCAGAGAGTAATCAAACAACAGAATAAACTCGGCTGCTACTTCTTTTTGCTGTCTGCTTCAGCAGTTATTTAGCTACAAATCGTAGTTCATGTGGAATTATTCACAGACTTCGTGTTAAACGTGTATTTTTCGTTTGAAAGCAGCAGAGGTTGTATGTTCGCGTCATCTCGCAGAGGAAAATGTACGAGATTTCACAACGTATTTATGTTGAAAGAACCCTGGCGATCATCAAACCTGATGTGGTTCATAAGTCCGAGGAGATCGAGAAAGTCATCCTGAAGGCAGGTTTTTTGATCTTGCAGGTTAGTAGAAATGTCAAACATTTCAATAGTTTATGGGTAGGAATCTAGTCACCGATTAAAAGATAATCATCTTTTGGGATTTCTTTTAGTGTTACTCTATATTTGATCCTTACACCTGTTGTCCACTAGAGGGCGATGGTGACCAATATTTTTAAGCCAGTTCAGCGGACGGCCTCTTGGGGTTGTGAAAGAGACACAGGGTGCTTAATTTTTACTAGAAATAATTTAGAGATGATCAGTTATATTAAATATAAATGTATTATGAAAGGATAGATTTAGTAATCCATGTGTGTGTTCTTAGGCAGTATTTACATAACATTTCTATCAACCTTTTAAAACTGATAGTACAAAGTTCAGTCATTTTTAATGTAATTCAGCTAAAACACATTGTGTTGTATTTCAAATTGCAATAGTACTATAATGATACATATTTTAATTATTATTAATATACCAGGTTGAACTTCCTAGTTGTTTTCAATTAATTATGTTAAAAAATCAGGTATTTATTTTTATTAGTTGTAACCTAAAACCTCCAACATGTTTATTACTCTCTTTAGTCCAGGCTTAATATTTATATAAAACCAATGTGGAGAAATGTGGAGCTTTGAAATATGTGGTTAATTACGTTTTACAGAAATTGTACATGTTCACTGGTGAAATTCCTTTCAGATAAGGATACCCACTTACACGTTGCAAGTGACTGTAAGCTGTACTATTTGAATGTTTTTTTCCCCCTTCAATATAATAAAAGAAGAAACACCTAAGGGGAGAGCTGAAAGCCAAACAGAAAAAATGAAATCAATCATAATTGTGTAGGGGGAAAAAAAGACAACATTTTGGAATTCAATTCAATATGTCTAACAAATTAAAGAAATAGCAAAAGAAACGTCTCATCTGTCTAAATTTGCATTTAACCGATCTGCATCTGTTTCATAAAGCTGAGAACAAACCATAACCATGTGTCTTGCTGAACTGTCTGGAAATGAATTTTCCCTGTGACAGAAGCGCAGGCTGCTGCTGAGTCCTGAGCAGTGCAGTGAGTTTTACGCACACCAGTACGGAAAGCTCTTCTTTCCCAGCCTGACGGCCTTCATGAGCTCCGGCCCCATTGTTGTCATGACGCTGGCTCGGCATAACGCCGTCGCTCTCTGGAAGTCCATGATAGGCCCTGACAACATCACCGTAGCCAAAGAAACAGATCCAGAATGGTCAGTCTCAAATAATTCTAGTGTAAATGAATAAGTGATGAAAATTCTTCAGAATTTACATTGCTTGAGGTTAATTTATTACACTTTCATTTCCCCGAAAAATGTCATTGAAAATACTTTTTTTAACCAGCAGTGTGGCACTCAGAGTTGTTGTCTGAATGCTGTGAAGATCTGTTCACTTTCCTTTAGCCTAATACTTTTTACTCTCGACTCCATGTGCTGCTGGTGTTTTAAAGTCTTACTCTCTCTTTCTCTCCAGCCTTCGAGCAAAATACGGAACTTCTGACCTGAAGAACGGTCTTCATGGCAGCGACACGTATTCAGCAGCAGTGAGGGAGATTAGATTTTTTTTCCCCAGCAGTACGTAATTTGCTCTGTCAAAATTACCGTTGCTCAGAAACATATGAAGTGCTGATCTCCTTGTGATTTCTCTTTGCAGCTGTAATTGAACCCTTTCCGTCTAAAGAACAAACCGAGGAGTACTTGAGCGCGAACGTAATCCCCGTTCTCCTACGTGGACTCACTGAGCTCTGTAAGGAAAAGCCTCTCCACCCCTGCGTAAGTACGGACGCTCAGCCTGTGGGAAAACCTTGTGTATTATAAGTGCGATGTGATGTGAGCTTGTGCAACTTTTCTCTTCTCATTAGATTTGGCTTGCTGACTGGCTACTGAATAATGATCCAAGCCAGCCTCAAATAAATGCGGGAAACATTCTGGGAGGTGAAAAGTGACAGCCAGGGAGCATGACTGCTATTTTTTCCTTTTGTTTGTTTTTTGGCAAGTTCGTGTGTTCGGTATCATATATGTAAATATATGGATACTTGGTAGCAGTAAAGAGCTGTGTTGATTTTCTCTTGTAGGTCAAAGAATTCTTTCTGGCCTGTTGATGTTAGTCATTTAAATCAAGCAGTGTGTTTACACTCCACATCTAAAACAATATTGTGAAATTAAATAGATTAAACACTGTAACATATTTTCAACTGACATGGTTTTGCAATAACTCTTTTTTATAACCCTTGACAGAGCCTTAAAATTACAATAAATTTCATTAACTAATCTCACTAAAACTAAAAAAAGATTTTAATCAAAACTCTATGATTAATCCAAATAGACTTTTTTTTTTTTTTTGCTGAAATGCCTTAAGATGACATGTGTAGTGAAAGGATGTTATATAAGTAAACTATGTTGTATTAAAAGGAAAACTAACCACCTTGAAACATAACGGTTTCACAATTATGCCGGTTAACGTTAACATGGTCTAGTCAAATTCCTTATTTAAATCTCACTGAAAATCAGAAGAAAGACTTAAAAATTGGTTAACATATGCTCTCCATCCAATCTGACAGAGCTTTATCTATTACGCAAAAAATGGTCAAAGTCTTCAGTCTCAATGTTCACTTAACGCTTTGAAAATGAATTATAATTTTTCTACTGCTTCACAAGTTTGCACTGCTTTGTTTTGGTCTGTCAAATAAAACCTCAATAAAATTAAGTGAAGTTTCTGTCTGTTATGCCATGTGAGAAAATGTAAAAAATAAAATAAAATAAAAACGTTCAACGAGTATGAATACTATAACAGTAAATTGTATCCTCTCATAATCAAATCAACCTAGATTAGAAAGTTTTTTTAAAGAGAAGTGGCAGTCATTTTCAATCCATATATGCATATCAGCAGCAGCAGCAGCTTTATTAGACACAAATAGGTCCATACAATATTTTAATTACTGTTTATTTGCCCCATCTTGATTTATTTTCGCTTTAACCATACAATGACATATAATGTCAACACCTTATTGGTTTGCGCCTTTTTGTCAAATGAAATTGATCATATTGATGTGTTTTGTAAGTTTTCATGTTTTTAAAAAAAAAAAAAAAAAAAAATAGGGATGGCTATTTCACTTCTCCGGGGAACTCGTTTCCAGCAGCTCAAAAAAGGTTCACCGAGTTCCTTCCTGTGTTGTAAGAGGGCGTTAACGACGCTGTGAAAGAAGAAAAAAGCGCCGTTTGTGATTGGTCAGCCCTGGGAGTGACAGCCAAATGTAACCAATCAGATGGCTCCTTTGCAGAAATTAATTTTTTTTCCCCCTTTGCCGCTTCTAAAAAACCAACCACGAGTTGTCGTCGTGTGGGAGAATCCATCTTGAAGAGAGCTCCTCGGCCGTACGACCAGTAAGTACACCTTCGTTTCTCTCCCAACATGTTTGTATTTAATATTGACAGATATGGCATAGTTTGTTGTGTATTTTTTTCTAACTGTTCAATGGTTTCGATCGCAGTGAAATAAATGCTGCGTCGCAATAATGGCCTACATTTCGCGCAGCACGGCCTCAGACTTACGTAATTGCGAATTTCAGTTCAGACTTTATCGGTACGATTCAGAAGGTTTTCTAATCTTTTCTACCAGATGGGCAGCACTGCAGATGGTAGGTGGTTGCCCTTTAATGTAACGAAACGAGCTATTAAAATGTCAGTCAGGCGGTCTTCCTGTCTGAGTGCGTGAAGCGCAGTGTCGCCGGTCAAAATGGTGGGAAAAGCGTAAACTGGCATCTCGTAAATGGCGAAGCGCGTAAGGGCTGACTGTGAAAGAATCGCTTATGGAGCAACTCATTGCGTACCGTCTCTGTGCTTTCTAGGTGTAGTAGTTAAAAATGTCCGAGGCAGAGCAGCAGTACATGGAGACGTCGGAAAACGGCCACGAAGCGGAGGACGATTTTAACGGAGGAGGAAACGACGGCAGCGCCGAGAATGACTGCGGAGAAGGTGCGGGGACCGATCCGGACGGGAACTCGCAGGACGGCGGCCAGATCGACGCCAGCAAGGGCGAAGAAGATGCTGGGTGAGTTTAGATAGATATTTTAGGGATTTTCTAGCTTAAAAGGTAGCCATAATAAGCACTGTTGCTTTACTACTATACCTCTTTGTTCAGCCGGCCTTTTGTTGGCGCCATGTGCCGAGTGGAGGGAGGGGGATGGGCGTTACAGCAGACATTAAACCATCCAATACTAGCTGATGGAATACTATAGCTACATGTCTAATATTCTGCCAAATAAAAACTTTTAATTTACTGAAACGTAATCGTAAACGTACTCTTGAGCTTCATCTAAGTATGCCCCCTCCCCCATGTGTTACTGGATCAACAGATGTGCTGGAACATGGTGTACATAATGTATATTTTTCCCCGCCCCCTCTTCCTAGGACAATTCCTGCCATCACAGCGAGCAAGTGCTTTGTAAATTATTAAACAAAAAAGGGTCAAAACGTAAGAACGGTTTATCAAGGAAGTTTTTAGTATAGGAGAAAAATAAGTAAATAAAACAGAATCTGTTTTTGTGTGAAACATTTGGAGAAGTTTCGCTTCCCCTTATTAAATCTTCTTCTGTTGACTGTTACTAACCAAGTTTAATTCCATTAGCCACACCTAGGCTTTATTAATGCCAGGATGGTGGAATTAGGAAATTACTTAAATTAGCATAATAATTCTGAGCATCACGAACTTAAACACAGGAGCACAAAAGAACCCACAGCAACGTTCAAAGCACTGAAAGCTTGACTTGCCTCACGACACAAGAGATAAACGGCATCCCCAAGTTCTTATTAACCAAAATACATATTTATAATCCCCCCGTCCCCTCAAGATTGCTGGAGTGACGTTTTGTGGACTGACTAAACTAAAGAGAAACTGAAAGTTGCGTGTCACATCTGTTGTAGACATTAGCACATAGCATTTCAGGAATGGATCTTGCTGACAAACGCGGTGGTGGTCGTGTGATGGCCTGGAGCTACTTTGGTGCTTCTTGACTGGAAGGAGTTGCCATGATTTATGAATCATTGAATTTTGTCTTTCACTAAAACAGTTGGTTAAAAAAAAACCCAGCACAGTACTTTGGTTATATGGTGAGCCAATTATCTTAAGCAGATCAGCAAGCCTTCCCCTGAAAGGCTCAAATAAAACAAAATGAATGGGTTAGTTAAGGTGTCCTAATCAAAGTATGGATTTAAATCTGCGACTTAGATGTCAGCTTCCTATCATAATAAAACCAGGTTAGATGGTTAATTTATAAAACTTTGATTTGACTAGCCTGCGACTGCGCAATTAAACATTGACGTGACAAGGTTATTTTATACATTTTTCTATTTACACTGGTTTCAGTGTAATGTCAGTGGAAATGTGGTCCAAGTTTAAGCCAAATCCTCTATTCGCTGTAACTTGCACTGTGTATTTGGCTAACTATGTTTGTGTTTTTATTTTGTTTTCAGCAAAATGTTTGTTGGCGGGCTAAGCTGGGACACAAGCAAAAAGGATCTGAAGGATTACTTCTCAAAGTTTGGAGAGGTGACAGACTGCACTATTAAGATGGACCAGCAGACGGGCCGGTCAAGGGGATTTGGCTTCATTCTCTTTAAGGACTCAGCGAGTGTAGACAAGGTGAGGAAGGACACAAGATGAGTTCCATTAGAATTGATGTAAGGCCTTTTAGAATCACCGATTTAAATTTAACGCCTGCTTCAATAATAAAAAACACTTTAACTTACATTTGTGTTTTTAACCTGGCACGAGTCCATTGCTTCTGCGTCAGTGTTATCTAACTTAAACACCTTTAAACGACAAATGGGGAAACTACATGATGAATTTTGATAACCAGCTGTTGAAATGTACTAAGTAAATAAAGCTGTTGGTGGCAGACAGTATAGCAAACCCCTGTTGATTTATATTGCCTTTAAAAATACCCAAATGAACCAATTCCAGAAACGGATTATTTGCTATGGGGAAGGGAGAATATCATAAATCTAAAATACAAGCCATGTTCTTTTTGGAAGTGTTTGTGTGATTGCCAGGTGGCAATTGACATCAAATGTTCGTCTTTTGTAGGTTCTTGAGCAGAAGGAGCACAGGTTAGACGGTAGACAGATTGACCCCAAGAGAGCCATGGCCATGAAGAAGGAGCCAGTAAAGAAAATCTTTGTTGGAGGCCTTAACCCGGATACCGCCAAGGAAGTCATCGAAGAATACTTCGGGACCTTTGGAGAGGTACAACAAGCATTCTGTTGACTTCAGATGGTTGAGAATGTAAGCAAGCATAAAATTGCTGACTGCTTCACAAAGTTTATTTTATTTTATTTTTTTGTAGATTGAGACCATTGAACTCCCTCAAGATCCAAAGACTGAGAAGAGGAGAGGATTTGTATTTATTACGTATAAAGAAGAGCCTTCTGTCAAGAAGGTTATGGAGAAGAAGTACCATACCGTCGGTGGAAGCAAGGTAAAACCTATGACAGATTACTGGTGATTGGTGTCAGGTGGCTACGTTTAAAAAAAAGTTCTTCCTCTCAAAAACACGTGCTGTTGTTTTTACAGTGTGAAATAAAAATTGCCCAGCCCAAAGAGGTCTACATGCAGCAGCAGTACGGCGCCCGGGGATACGGAGGCCGTGGCAGGGGACGTGGAGGTGAGGCATTTCATCCCATTTGAGGAAACCTCGTTCTCTTTACAGCTACATCTGCTCTGAAACTTGAGTTGTGACAAAAGGCCTCACCTATTGTTTCTAGGCCAGGGCCAGAACTGGAATCAAGGATACAACAACTACTGGAACCAGGGATACAACCAGGGCTATGGTTATGGACAGCAGGGCTATGGATACGGTGGCTATGGCAACTATGACTACTCTGCTGGTTATTACGGCTATGGGGGTGGCTACGATTACAGTAAGCGATAAGTGCCCCCAGGGAAAGACACTGAATGAGAGAAACTTTATTTTCTTGGTCCTCCTTGTTGTACAGAAGAACTCAGTCCCTTTTTCTCTTGTCCTCCAGACCAGGGCAATACAAGCTATGGGAAAACTCCAAGACGTGGAGGCCACCAGAGTAGCTACAAGCCATACTGATCACACGTAGTGCAGGTATGCATTCTTGCATCATCCGTGGTAGTATGAGATCGTAGCTATAACCATTAGTGCCTTTTGGCCCCACAAAGAGCTCCATCTACACTAAATCCATTCAACCATTGTGGTGGGGTTATAGTAGGGCGTGATGAGGGGTCTGGGATCATTAAAGATGGATTCATTCCACCTGTCTGCCATCTTGAGATGCATCTCTACAAAGCCTACTTGATCAGTAAGGATTTGTGGTGGTCCAGAAAAGAAATGAGGACTGATCTGATCAGCTAGCAGTCGTGTCCGCCCCGCCCGCCCCCTCCCCTTTCCTGTCCCAAAATGTTTCATTCACTTTATTTGTCGAACTCATTCATGCACCTGTCTGTCTCTGTGTAACTGCATGCCACGCTCGGTTAATTCTCAGTAACGTAAAGCACCGTGTCTTTCCTCCTAAGGTCTAAAGTAAATAAGAAAAAGAGATCCATGGTCTGACCACAGCGAACATGGGCTCTGGCTTTTCCTTTGGAGTTGGCAGAAATTTGGACTCATGCTCCATTTGTACAGATCAAGTGAGGAACTGGGGAAGCAATGTCACTTTTCCACTTTTTTTTTTTTCTTTTTTTTTAATTTTTATTTTATATTGTTTCGTGTCCATTTACATTTCCAGTGATGGAAGTGTTATTTTTACTGTACTTTTTGGTACCCTTTTTGAATCTAATGTATTGTATGGTTGTATTTTTACATGTCGACTGGAATTACAGACAAGCAGGAGCAAAAGGGCTTTGAAAAGCTCTCAAATAAAACAATATTGCTTTTTTTGTTCTGTGTGTTTCTAGACTTTTAGTTATGTTCTCCCATGCTGAGTGTTGGAAATGAGTTGCATGGCTTAAGATGTGGGGGGTTGAGGTGATTTAAAAAGGGATTTACACTAATCAAAGGGTTCTTTAAAAAAAAACAATGTCAAGTGAGTGCTACGGGGGCTTGTAGAAAATAACAACCAGCATTTATTTCAATTTTGTTTTATTTCTTTTTGTTGTTTTTCTTTTTTGCTTTTAAGGAAGTTTCTCCCCACCATGTCTGCAAATTTTAAGTGGCTTTATTAGTGTTACTCAACTTGAACGCAAGCCTGTTATAATGTAAGAGGGTAACCCCTCTGTCACTGGAAACTCATTCCTCTAGTGTCTTGGGCAAATTGATAGAAATAAAAATTTGGTTTATATTACACATGGATCTTTTGGTTATTTTTTTGTAAAGTTAATGTTAAATGTCCTGTTTTAATGTACTGTTAATGGTAAATTGGCTTGCATGTTTTGCTTCGAGTAATGACATCTCCTCGGATTCCTGTTTGGGGAGATGTGGCAGGAGGGCTTCTCTACCTGTTAATACCCAACCGCACTTAATGTGAACCTGGAACACTTGAGCTTTTGTAACAATGTGTCCATCAGTTAAAGATGGTCTGGTAAGTGCTTAACTGGGCCTACTGTGTGTTGATGACGTGTTTTGGATACGTATGATGAAGCTGCATTATTTAAATTATGGCCGCTGTGGGCAAAGGAACAGGCAATGCAATTAAGAATTTAAACTTTTATTTCCATGATTTAAGAGTTGACATTTTTCTTTTTAATTTAGAAAAGAGGCTATATGATAATGGTTGTGATATCAGAGAAAAGACTGATCACATGTTCTGCAAAAATCTACACCACAAATTTGATGCTGAACACCCAAAACAATATTTTACCATGAAAATGTAGCTTCAATAGAACTCGACACCCAAATCCTTTACAATGCATTTCCATTGGGCTTTGACCCACATTTAATACTTGATGTACCAGAAAAGTCTTGAAGTCCCACAGCAGTCAGTATTTTGGGGGTTGGGGTGGGGTGGGAAATGCCACCTCTGAAATGACCTGCAAGCCTGTCAGAACTGCAGCAGCCTGAAGTGTGGATATCTCTACCTCTGAACAACTTCATGAATGTGACATCTTGACAATGTTGAATGCAATTAAAGGTTTTCTACAGGTTTGGCAAACTTTAGATGTCTTCATTTTCCAATTTGAGATTCTTGGCCTCCATGTCTGTGAAGAGGAAAACCAATATAAGTCACTTATTGTAGCGGATCATTTTATCCTGAAGGCTTTTTCTTTTCCCCTGTGTTAACATTACTGGTAAACGGGTGTATCTCCACTAGATATCAAAGTTCATTAAAATGGTGAAACCTCAGAAAATGCAGCAATACGGTTCAACTTCAGTTAATTTCAATGATGGGACACAGGCTTCATGTTGCACTGCATCGATTCAGTAATTTATGCAAAAAGATCTACATACAAACTTGGTATAAACTGATTTTCTGATGAGCTGGGTTTGAATTTTATTAGCTGCAAGCAAAAATCAAAACTTACATTTGAAATTGGTCATTGTGTAATAAATCTGTTGAACTTTTAAAATGAATCCCTGCAATGGCTTGATGAACCTTTTGTGTTGCACAAAATAAGAACGTGGTCGATGTCGGAGCTGCCCCTATTTTAGTGAAATGCTCTAATGTATGCAGTGAGCCTGTTAGCCGACCTGCGGTAAACGAGCTGTTGGTTTACGCAACATGTTTACTGCTAATGTAAATGTGGAGCTTGCGCTACAAACCAGTGAGGATGCGGTCAATGCACCGAACAACCAGCTCTGCGTCTTCCATACTGAAGCACATGGGAGGCTTGAACTTCAGGACACTTTCCCAGGGGCCGTCTGTGCTGACACAGATTCGATCCTCTTCCTTTAACCTGGTATAAAGAGGACATCAAATGACTCAGATGAAGGTTAAAATACGACGGCACAATCAGCTCTTTGTTGGTATTCCTTTTATGCTCAGGAGGATTCAGAAAAATCTATTTGTAATTCCTACTTTTCGATTTGTTAAATCAGTCTCGCACAGTTCAACTTCTGATACTGACCTTGTTACCACTGTTTTTTTTTTTTTTTTTAAAAAAAACAGAACTATAAATCCATTACGGATGTAAATTTCTATTAACTTGACTAGTCATTAAGCACAGTAATTGACAAACTCCATTTAGTTCTCCAACTTTCATCTGAAACATGTTTTAAGTAGGAAGCCATTTATCAGGTACATGGAAGACAGCATCATCCCATACCTCTTTACCACCAACGCTGCAGTTTTAGTGGCAGGAGTTTTAGTTCGTCTGTCTATAACCAGCTCTAGTCCCACAAACAAGCCGACCCCACTAAAAGCAAAAAAAGCAGAAACAATCATTATTTCAGACAAGTAAACACAGCGACACTCCCACAGGGAATTTAGTGATCAAATAACCTAAAAGTCGTGATTTTGATCAGAGAGAATCCACACATGACCCAGTAGCTATCTTCACATATGCGCCCCATCCAATTTAACAGTTAGATTTTTCCGAAAAGAAGAATCTGCAACATTTTCACATGACCTGTAAAGATGATTCTACAAAGTGTTAAAACACGTCAATTTCCTTCTATTTCACAAAAGATTTCCGTTGTACAGCTTACATTCATAAACTATATTCAAGTTTATGGATACTGCGTGAGAAATTGTGAGAAAGTTAAGTGTTGTTAATACTTTTGAAAAGTAATTGTTGAACTTCTGGTTGGTGTAAATGAAATCTGACTTGTCTTTAGATTCCCTGCTTAGCAGAAGACAGATGAAGCACAGATGTTTTCAGAAAAATAGCTTTTGTAACTTCAATTTTAAGTTATAATTGTACCGTTGGTACTTTGCAACAGTTTTACGGTATGAAATGTAAAGCAAGCATTGTGCAACTAAATATGTTATTAGTCGTAGTAGAAGACATTTTGTTGTTTTATGTCTAAATAGGGAGAAAATGGAAGAATATGTACCCTTACCGGACATCTCCAATTATTTCATGTCTTTGTTGTAGCTTCTTTAGCAAATCTTTGAGATGTGCTCCCACCCTTATGGCATTTCCTCTTAGATCTTCCTTCTCAATCACATCAAGAACTGCCAAGCCAATGGCACATGACACTGGAGTCCCCCCAAACTGCATTATAATGGAGAAATTTCATAAAATCAATGCAAAGCTCATTCAAATAGGAATAAACACAACCAAAAAAGGACATATTCATCTGACATCCGTTAGGAAAGCAGTCTTAACGGCATCTATATTTCTTTCCACAAATGTAAGTTAGTAAGATGGTTGTCACTAAAGCATTTCTGAATGATCACCGTATTGAAGTACTCCACTCCATTAGCAGTGAAAGCTCCGGCTATCTCCACAGTAGTGGCCACACATGCCAGAGGATGGCCGTTACCCATCGGCTTCCCCATGGTCACGATATCCGGGCAGAAATCCTCTCCCTGAAGCTGGAAAGCCCAAAAATGAGTCCCAGTTCGTCCAAAACCTGTCTGAACTTCATCTGCAACAAATACTCCACCAGCAGAGCGCACATGTCTGTGGAAGGTAAAAGCAAAGAGTCATCATCCTATCTGGACCGGGGCAAAGAAACGTCTGCAAGTAGATCCGTACTGACTCTGCGACTTTAGAGAAGTATCCTTGGGGCAAGATGATTTGCCCCCCAACACTGGGCAAGGACTCAGCAAAGAAGGCCGCAATCTAAGGTAGAAAGAGTAATAAACATAACATAAAGGGCATATATATTTGTGTTGCTCACTGTAATCAGGCAATGTTTAGATTAGTAAATCTTTAAAATATTGCCTATTTTACCACTGAAACATGAAGAGGGACTAAAATGTACCTTTCGACCTTTTTTATTGATCTCCTCTATCAGGTGTTTTACTGTATCAGCATAAGCTTGGCCTGGATTGGGATGCTCCTCTCTATATATGCCTCTGTAGGTGTCAGGTAAGGGAGCCTGGGAGGACAAAATTGTAATATTTCAGACAAGCAGAAATACAATGGTTGTCTTTTACAGTTTGCATACTAAGAGTTGTATATGTTTACACACCACATGAACCCATTCTTTCTGTCCTGCCAGTTTCCGGAACTTGTAAGGACTAATGTCGATGAGTGACTTTAGATGCCCGTGGTATGCACTGGTGTGGAAGGAATGTTTATTATATTCAAAAGGTGTGGGGTTTTTTCTGTAATGTATTGCTCAGGAGTTAAGATTCTTACTGATCTAGCACTACGACGTCCTCATGTCGGGTGTACTGCTCTGCCAGGCGGAGGGCTAGATCGTTGGCCTCTGACCTGTCAAAGAAGCGCATTTGATCACCGACATGTTACTTCTGGGATGTGATCCGGTGAAGCTTCAGATAGATTTCTTACCCGGAGTTCACAAAATAGAAGACAGACAGTTTCTTGGGCAAGGTAGCTGCCAGTCGATCTGCATACAGGACTATGTTGTCATGGAGAAAGCGTGAATTTGCATTCAGGAGGTCCATTTGAGCCGTAGCAGCCTTTGTTATAGCAGGGTGACAATGTCCCACTGCAGGAAACACAATTAACACTTAACACTGACTTGCACTTGTTAACATTGTTCTTTACAGGCTTCAATAATAATTTATCTACTGTGATTTTATATGTGCATAATTAAGAAGTAGAAGGAAGAGAATAAATAGTTTTCAGGGGACAGGGCTGTTTTTGTTTTGTTTTATTTTTGCAATAAATTAAATCTGAAAATTGTACCATACATATTTAGTACCCTTTACTTCACAAGTCTGTGAATGAGGTATTAATACTCTTGACAGAACGTTTAAAAAGTACACTAGAGAGACTTCCTGCCACCAGGTGACAATAGTACAACATGTATAGGAAAGATCAACACACCGAAACTTAAAACTTTACCATGTTGGACGTTACTGATGCAATCCAGGTAGCGTTTGCCATTTTCATCAAACATATACTGTCCTCTTGCTTTGACTATCTTCACAGGGTCTTCTGAATAGAAGAGTCTGCACGACTGGCTATGATTAAAAAAAAAGCACGAGTCAGCGGTGAGCTACGTAGTATATTACCCATTACCAACAAAAAATTTTAATATTAAGAGTTTTGATTTTACATACCCAATTAACCTCTGCCTCATTTCGAGGGTTTCTTCTTTCCTGAATCTTTCCTCAGCCATGTCTTCTCTTGTTTCGCCAGTTTAACACACACAAAACAACTATTGAAGCAATGAGCAGTTGGCTACATACCCACAGCTATCGGATGTAATGATTTATTTCATTAAACTATTTAGCAAAACATTCTGCCATCGCCGCTGGAGTAGGAAGTCAAAACAGCCACCGCGCATGCGCAGATGCTCAGCTGGTGTTTTAAGTTAACCCAGATTTGACAAATGTGTGTTTTTACGAACAAATTCTTGTAAGCTAATTAAAAAAGAATGTTTGTGTTGTTAGTTTTTTTATAGCATATAAGAAAACAGAGAGATTTGGAGTAAGTTTAACAATTGTTCTGTACCTTTAATTCGAATGGTATAACTTTTGAGTTGTAAGGGGCAGACGTGTAAAAACCCTATAGCATGCAACACTACTTTTGTTATGTTTGTTACTCTAAAAATACCAAACGTAATGTGTAATCGGAATAATCGTGAGCTACATTTTGCTTCATTAGTTTGCTAAAAGTCATTTTGGTAAAACATTGTCCTCATACGTTCCTTTGCATTGGTATCGCCCAAAGGCTATAAATACTCTGCGACTCAGTTGCTCGCTTGGCCGTGCAAGTTTCGGTTGCTAAGGAACCACAGAAAGCAGGTAATGCATCAGGTCAGCTGTAGCGTGCTAGCTCTTAGAGCGGCTGCGTGACCGAGATATGAGCCGGTAAATTCAGGAACAGCGTGTTTTCACAGTCTTAGCAAACTATGTCAGCGAATGAACGGTTCTCTGTTGGTAGTAAATGGTTGAGCTGGAAGAAATGACACCAGTCATTGAAGTTGGCACACTTGTTATCCTATAAGCTTGCTAACGTAACCGGCTAATAACTTGATGTCTCACGGTCTGCATCGTGTTAAGCTAGCTTGCTCCCCAGCTACAGTGTGTAGTAGATTTACCCAGAACAAAATCTATCAACTGGATAAAATATGTACTGCAGTTCGTATGATCGATTTTAGCAATCGGACCCGTTTTTCTTGAGAAATGAGCGACCTGCGCCACCACGTTAAAAAGCTCATAGCCTTGGTTATTATTAAACACCCCAAATTGCATTTACATTTGAAGTATCTTTTTAATTCTTCTACACATCTATCACGATTTTAAACACACGCTGTTGTTGTTAAGTGTATATTCAAACTTGCTGACCTAATGAATTATGTGCTAACTTTGAATTAGCTGATGATTGCTTGCAGCAATGTCTTTTTTTGTCGTTTTTTTCCCCCCAGAGCTGTTGCCACATGATTAGGTCTGGTGAAACCTTTTGACTTGTGGCATGTGAAACCAGGCTAGCAATGTAGCACATAGGTTTATCATGAGATGGCAGGCGGTGGAGGCCAAATTACAAAGTCAGCAGTGTTGTAAAGTTTCATTAGCCGTGAATGTCACTAAATTATTTAATTATGACTATGGACGTTTAAAGTATTTACACAGAAACGGTTTATTCTGTCTGTGTTGGCACTAGTTTAGGCACTAAATGTACTTTAGCCTTTGCTCTCTTAAACACCAGGGTAAATGCTACAAGGCCATGCTTTATTTCAATTCAGCTGCCATATTGTCTATTTACTTTTAGTTTGAGAAGTTGCTTGAAGATTTGTCAAATTTCTGTTCTTGTGCCAACATAAGTTAATTTTTAATAAAAGAAGTTGTTTCATTGACACTCTGTGGTTTAAGACTTGTACTAAAAGGCGACATGGAAGGAATGTGCTACCGAATAGGATGCACAGACCCTTGTGGCCTACTGATTTTGCCTTTTTTTTTTTTTTTTCTTTCAGTTTTAAGTGCATCTGTGCCGCCTGGTCAGTTTTTCCTCCTTGCCTTCCAGAGATACTATGACATATTTCAAACCTCTGTCCCATTCATTTTCTACATACTTCCCCCCCCCCACCCACATCCTTTCCTTTTTTGGATTCTCCCTCCCCCTTCCAATCTCTGCAGCACCCACAACTCTTGGAAGTAATTGAAGTTTATTGGACCTAACCAACACGTCTAGCCTTTACACCACACCTTAGTTTTTCCACTTTTTACTCGTTCTTAAATATCACTATTTTGAATTCCTTGTTTTTTTTTCTTTTGTTTTAATGGGCGTGCACGCTTTCTTTGATGGAATGTGAAGTACTCCTTTGTTCAGGGCCTCCTTATGTCCTTGCGTGCTCTCTGCCTTTGTGAACATGAACTTCTTCCTTTCATGTGTGAAGTGAATGACGTAGCTCACAGATCCCAGCTTAGATTTTGTGCAGAAATATGCATTTGACATTCATGCATTCTGTTCCCCTCTGTGTGTGTTTATTAAGATATTGTTTAATTGCACGTTCTCTTTTGTAACTGTTATGGTTAATGATTGTTCCAATTTATGATTCTCTGTCCCTTCAGGTGGCATAGGCTTGAGGATGGTGTAGTTAGAAGGCTGGTCAGTCTGGCTGGTTGAGGTGTGGAGGGGGACACCACAGACCACGCCAGAGATCTGACAGGAAAAAAAAAAATAACTACCCTCAGTGGATCTGCCGTCTCCATGCGTCTCCTTGGACTGCAATTATGGTTACACTTATCACAGAGCAGCTCCGTAAGCAGAGTTTAGAGGAACCTTATCACAAGGCTTTCACATTCAATGCCAGTGTGGTAAGTTGAGAAATGACAATGAACTGAAATGGCTTTGATGCAGTTTAGTTGGGTGTTGGGTTTTGAAAGTTAAGTTGTTGCGTTTGTTACAGTCTCTGCCTGAAGTGGGCTCAAGTCCTACCATTTCATGGAGTTCCGGTAAAACGACGCAAGGTAAGTCCGAACAACGCAGAAGATGAGCTTTGACTGCTACGGTCACCAGTCTTATGTCTTTGTTTTCTCACCGTTAGAAGCCAGCTCAGACCCACACCAGTCATGCAAAGCGCATGTTTTGGCTAACTCGTGTGAACCTTGGCCCCGCTCGCGCTCTGGAGAGCCACTCCAGGGACCAGAGGTTTCCCTCACAAACAATTCCTTCCAGAGTTCCCCCCCGCCGCCTCCGAAACGCCACTGCCGCTCCCTCTCTGTTCCCGAGGACCTGTCCCAGTGCCGCTCCGCTTGGCACCCAAGTGCATCAAAGGTCTGGACTCCGGTTAAACGGGGCTGCCACAGTCGAGGAGCATCCAGTTCAGGCTCTGGAGCCAGTTCTTTGCTTCTTTGTGGTCCCAGTTCTTCCTTCACCTCCTCCTCTTTACACTCTTCGTCTAGCCCCAACTTCTTTAGTTTAGCACTGTCTTCTGACTCTTCTTTGTCCTGTGGCTTCCCATGGGATCCCTGTGACACGTTGAAAGGTGCTTGCTCTGCCTCTCTTGCTACTCCTTCCTCTTGCTCCTCTTCGCCAGCCCCTCTGGTTTCTCACTCTATCCTGCACCGTCGCTTCTCCCTTTCCCCCGTGCACATTCAGATCGCCTCTGCGGCGTCCTTGCACCCGCAGCCTTCCCCAGCTCATGTTCTGGCGCACAGCTTTTCTGGTCCGGAGCATCCCTCCCTGTGTCCGTCTCCCACTTCAGCTTGCAGTACCCCATCCTGCTCTCGGCGGGACCTGCACCCCGCACTGCCACGATGCCACTCGCAGCCCTGCGACATGCGCAAACCCCGGCTGAAGAGGCGCCATGACCCAGATGTCCTTCCTTGCTCCAGGCCAGGGCTGGACTTCAGCAAAATGACACAGGTGAGAAAAGCAGGGATGCGCCTGAAAGATTGTTCCGTCAGCTTCTTTCTCTTGCTCAAACCAATTGGGAGCACAATGGGTTTTGCATGTTTGAGCTCGTTTTTACACACTTTAATGTATATGGGGATTTCACTTGGGGGGGGGGGGGGGATATATATATAT